AACACCACATTCACTGAACCTCTTAATCCTGGGTTGAGGTTGTTGCCCTGGTCATCTAGTTCCTCTGCGACTCTGTGTTCTCTGTAGGAAAGAGACTGCTTCCAGTCCTATGGTTTAAATGTTAGCGGAGGAACATTTGGCTCACTGATTGTACTGTTAATGTCAGTAAAATGAATGGTGAAGTGATCTCTTCACGTCTGAACTTGTATACAAACTGTGTTGACTTTGATATTTACTTTAATAAAGTGTTCTTGAAGAAACATCTAGGTAAGGAATAAAGCATGACGAGGGGTCCATTATCAGGAATTAATGGACGATGTGGAGGCCAGAACTGCCAAAGAGCAGCATTTTTTCAAGCCATAAATCTGTTTCCCTGGTAACACCTGAGGGTCTGACTACTCCCTGGAATAATCATAACCATAAGGTGCTAATGCAATGGAATCATTGTCTCTCCGCTTATAGAGCCCGATGACTCAGTTACCAGCAAGAGAGCTAATGTTACACTAGCAAGATTCAAATAATACAGACAGTATATTTGCTAGCTATCAGACATGTCATTATCCTCAAATCAAAATTAGGATTTTCACAAACAAATGACAGGACATTTACTTCCTGTTGGCCACAGCCTGAAGTAGTGAGCTAAATAGCAAACAGGATGTGGGAGGATCACTACTACATAGATTGGCTAATGGCTATAGCATTAGTCATTGTTTGTGTGGTCTTGATTTCAACCAATGTACTCTTTTCATCCTACATGTTTTTGCAAGTGTAAATCTCCTGCAGTTTGTTAAAAAATGTGTGTTATAAAAGATCTGAACCCAACCTGTACTGTTGTCTAAAATTGCAAATAAACTCTCACACACAATCTAACTAACAGTAACACATTTATTTGCAACGTTTCAGTGATAGACCCTCAGGGAAATGGTTTGTGTCAATGTCATCTTAAATAGGGAGTGGCTGTAAGGCTGAAATCAATCAACCCTTACATGTCGTAAGTCATAAATACAAAATATCAGTTTTCTACAACACAACAGAAAGAGAACTAAGAACTGTGTAATTTCACTGGTATTGCTATTGACTACTACATTTTTGGTATCGTAACATCCCTAGTTTATTAAGTAGGTCCCTGCAGGCTCCAAGGGGCAACTGCAGTAAAAATAAATAAATAAATAAAGTACAAATTTAGCAGATTACATTTATGAATTACGTCAATGATCTGTTATTGCCACATTTTAGACAGACAGGCCTTTTCTAGCGAAAGGTGAACCAGCTCCGATCCAGCTAAACCAAACATTAGCAGGTTTTCCTTGGGAACTAAAGTAGGCGTGTCATTCTTAAGCAGTGGGTCCCAACCTTTTTCCTTAAGGAACCTCTTTTCTATCATTGAGTAACTGACTAAGTGACATATTATGAATATTAACAGAACAACTGTGGTACATTATTGTGTGTAAAATGAGCAGATTCTTGACTGTAAGTAGGACATCAGGAACTGGTGGAAACACAGGCTGGTTCCCCATATAGCACCAAGGGTCCAAGAGTCTTGAATGGAAACGGTTCAAGAACCAGAGCTATTTGGTGGAAAATAGCCTAAGTGATGGGTTTTAGTTCATGTATGAGGAAAAATGTCTGAAGATTTGGAAACAACAATGTCAATAATGTCATGTTTTTGAGTTTTTTGAGTTAAATATCTTGAGAGAGCAAATGCCAACAGTTTGGTTGCTACTACCTCTTTGGTTCCAAGGACATGAGACCAAAAACAGAGAGGTCGACACATATGTTGCTTTGTGATCAATAAATCATAAGTTGCATCAATAGGTCACAAAAAACTTAAAGAGAAACCAAATGGCAGCTCACATTTATAGCAAGGCTGCTGCCACCTGTCAGGCAATCAGAGCATCGCTGGATAATTGTCACAGGTGTAGTCAATAAAGTGACTATGAACAAAATCAGCTAGATTCTCACAAGGCACTAAACGTAGAGACCATATCACCCCATCTGCACTGGCTGCCAGTAAGATTTAGAACTGATTTTAAGATCCTACTCATTACTTTTAGAGCGCCGACCTTTTATCTATTGATCAGCCAGAACGCAACCTTATACCCTTAGGAAAGACCCTTTTGGTTGTTCTAGTCCAGTATCAAGACTAAAAGAGACTGTCTCTATTACTGTACTTAGGAACGGCCTACCTGAGGAAATTAGGCTGAATCTGTTTCATATTTTAAATTCCTTCTAAGAACACACTTTTATAATCAGGCTTTTATGTGAATTTACACAATATTTCCTGTGTATCATCGTGATTTATTTTATATATTTTAAACCTTTAATTTACTGTATTTTGGCATACTGTATATAATGTCATTAGGTTTCGGACTCTTCTCATATCAGTGTGTTTGTGCTGTGATGCTGGTACTCCACCAGGTGGTGATGTTTCTGCGTCCATCCAGGATGGAAACCAGAGCTCCACACCACTATCATCATTTAGAGTGATTCTGTTAAATGTTCACTAACATCTGTGGCGTGTGGCTGGAAATCATTTTTATTATTAATCTGATGATGACAGACATTTCCCTCAGAGGGATTTCACTTCATCATTAAACAATCTGCTGAGCCTTAGACATGAGCCAGACATGCTCTTTCTTTTAATTAATCAAAATAATAAAACTCGAGTTTCATTATTCATCTTGTTCAATATGAATGCTTCTGCTAAATTAAATTAGATGTGTTCAGCATTTGAGTGATGGTTGTTAAAATTACTACAAGATAGAAGTAGAAGTAGATACCAAGCAACAGTTTGACAATGTCAAAATACTCTTTCGCTTGTTAAAGTTCTGATTTCAAAATGTTAACAAATTAAAGTATTATCAGCAAAATGTACTTAACCTTCCTCTTAAAGACTGACCTTGCAGAGTCTGTCTAAGAAGTAAAAACTACAACAACAAGGGTGTTCATTCTTTTTGCAGCAGAAAGCTAAGGCTTCCATCTTTGTGCAGCGTTGTGGGCTCTGGGTGACATTACGTTGTTACATTATGTGCAAAACATGGTGACAATATAGGAGCATATAGGATAGGAGCTAATAAAACAGGCCCAATTTTTGTGTTTTTGATTTATTTATGATTAATGTTTTCAGTTATTAGGGTTAATTGACTTATATACCCTTTTAGTTTAGGCTGTACAGATTTTAGGGATGTTTAGGGATGATTATATCAACAATTGACAGTACAAGCAAAAACACCAATGTAGGCACTGGCAGATCATTTTTATTGCAGTGTTGAAAGGGTTAAAGTATCAAAAATAATAGTACTCATGAACTCAACTTAGAATTTTCTTTTATTTCTTTTGAAGTTGAAATAACTTCTCACATTACAGTGGATTATTTAATATGTAAACTTTAAAGACCTGAACACAAGCTGTTTTAGAACAATGCCCAAGTATCAGGGAGAAGAAAACATTGAATTGGTTAAAAAAAAGCAGCCTATGAAGTCTGTATCATTCTTAAACATAATACAGAGGATTGTATAAGAAATTCACAGGAAATAATCTAAAAAAATGCTCAAAATCCATACAAACTGCTTGTTTTACACATACCTCCTTCAGTTACTGAGTTCACTGTTTGGGTTCATTGTTCATTCCATTAGTTGTTCTGTATTTGTTGAACATAGTCAGGGGTTGTCAGTTTACTCAGTGATAGATAAGGGGTCCCTTAAGGACCCACTGATCTAGCATACCCTGAGACATTGTTGCAGAAGGAAACATCCCTGACGTGCTGATCTGATGACTGATTGGTAATTTACAACTGTTTGTAGAATGTGTGAAGTTCTTTCTCAGTTAAACACCTGCAGCCGTGAACAGCAGGACGATGGCCAGCACGTTACACGCCTGAACAGGGACTCGACTCGCCCGTCAATTCTTGGACTGACAAATGTGTGAGAGTGATTTAAACTTTTCTTATTTCCTTTGTCTCTCTATAGCAGTGGTTCCCAACCT